AAAAGAGGAGGGGGAGGAGCCCTCAGCCAATCAAGGGAAGACTTTCTTTCTCTCCTCTCCCAAGCAGGAAATAGTAGAGACTGGGGGAAAGGAACTGCAACGCCAGAAACAGGAAGGAGGAAGCATCAGACAGCCAGTTCTTGGTGGGCCAGATAGGCACCCCCAGGGATCAGATGTGGCCCATGGGCTGCACGTCAGCCCTGGTTTAATCCTTTCCCAAAGAGGACAAAGAAAGCATTTGTATATCTGTCTTCTGAAGGGATACACTCCCAAGAGAGCTGATTGCCTCACATGCCCCCCCCCTTAAGAAAGCAGAGACTCATGGCAATACCATGTGTTTTTGAACACTTGAATTAGACAGTCCCAAGCACCCAATACTAGGAAACAAATTTGGACTTAATGTGACACAAACATTGGCCAGCAAATTTTAGCTTGAGATAGCTCTGATTTTGGAACTGAAAGAATGAGGACTTTGTAGATATGCCTGTCATATTTTGTGTCACAAAAAACATTCCAGGTCAACACAAAAGTAGACACAAGGGATGGCAGGTATTAATCTCCCACCTAAAATGGTTGTATAATTCCTGGCACCAAACTGGAGCACACAAACAGAGCAGAAAGGTTAGGGTTGCCAGGCCCCTCCAAGTTCCCAGCAGGGGACTTTGGGGGGCTTTCCAAGGGGGTGGGGACAGTCCCAACTTGATGACATCATGCAGAAGTGATGTCATCACATCAGGACCCGGCACCTGAGCGAATTTGCAGTTTGGATGGCAGGTGCGCACCCCCCCACACACACACTTCTTCCCCAAATCATTTAAAGGATCCTTTTAAATGCTTTGAGGAAGAAGCAGGGGACGTGCATGGGCCCCCTGCTTCTTCTCAAAAGCATTTAAAGGGACTCTTTAAATGCTCTTGAGAAGAAGCGGGGGTGGTGCGCTCCCTTCTCCCTCCCGCCTGTAAGAGTTAAAGGGCCCTCCAGCTGACCGGTAAGCCATGTGCTCCCCACCGATCAGCTGAAGGGCCCTTTAAATCTTGCATGAGGGAAGGGAAAGGGGCTGTCAGTGGTCAGGCTTGGGGGTGGGGCTTCCCTCCTGCCGGCTAGCTGGCTGGCAGCAGATTGGAGCTCCCAAATCCTGGGGAACCCCTGCCATGACCTGGGGGATGGAAACCCTACAAAAGTGCCTGCAGCAATAATGGGTGAGGCTGGAAGAGGGCTGGCCCAAAGCAATAATGGCAGCCTTGAACCAGTGAGATTAGTTGCACTGCTAGCTGGGTCTCTGCCCTGATACTCTGGGAAAGTTTAACAGTCTCAGGAGCAGCAGGAGGGAGATTCTGAAGCCAAGCATAACTGCATTACAATAATCCCAGAAACCACTATGTTTGTAGCTTCAACCAACTCAGCCAAATCAGTCAGTTGCTAGGCCTCTGGAAAACTTCAAAACATCCACAATTTTTTTTCAAAAAAATCCTACAGCATCGTAACACATTAACTATTTTAACCCTGCCTATAACACGCAGAATTCAGTGGCAAAGGACTCTAATTAAGTATGCCATTTTGTTTCTGTTTAAATATACCATCATGAACATATAACCCCCCAAAATTTAAAAAACCCTTTTACTGCTCGAAACACAGAAAGAAAATCAAAGACTTCAAAGGATTCTGGCAGGGGTTGTTTCTTCCAGTTTCTTGGATTTGGGGTAGAAGCTGAGAGAAACAGCTTTATAACTTGGGGCAATGAAATGTAGGAAAAGGCACGATGATACTTACACAGGTTACTGCCAAGGTTGCCCACATTACTGCTCTGTACAGCAGTCAAACACCTCAATTGCTGTGACCAGGTGAGACCTCTCTAAACTCCAGAGTATGCATGTGAACATTGTCTATACCCGCACCCCTGCTCTGAAATTGCTTTGCTTAATGGTTCAGTCATGAAAGGCCACCTTTTTTCAAACAAGAGGTACTTTGTGATGCTCAAAAAGCATGTTTACTTACCAGCCAGTCATGTTAAAATCTCTGTAAAGCATTCTTTTTCCAACTTCCTTACGTTGAACCCTCCTTGGAAACTCAAAGTGTGTAAACTCATTTCCCAACAGATGGGGCTGCATGTAGGCCTGCAAGTGCAAAATAGGAGAAACAAAACCACAGAGGACAATGACACATAAAGAAGTTTTATAGGGGGGCCCTCCGTTTCTATCATGGTAATTTTTGGGAAAGGTGCTACCTACAATGTCAAATCATCAATAAAATCACTGAAGTCCATATTTAGGAGTCATTTTTTTTCTCCAGACTTCACCCACTTTTGACCTACAGCAAGTGTCATTCCACATTTACCCATTTTTCACTTCTTTGCTAGAGCAGCTGCTATGTTGCATTAGCTCATTCTTTGCCAGTTTCTGACAACTGGCTTATATTTTCACACTACATGGACTTGGATATATTATAGGTAATCTAATCATCATAGTGCAGTTCTTCGCATCACGCGGGACTGAATCCACATTACCTTATGTCCTGCAGCATGCTGCACATGTGCTATAAACAGAAGAAGGTCAGTGCTGTCCTGGTCAATGATGTCTGCTTTTCTGGACAGGGATTATCAGCTATGAGGAGAGAAGGACTAGCTGGGTTCAGTCCCATCTGATCACTTAAACAGATGATTGGCTCCACAAATCATCTCTCTTAAGTGCACTGAACATGGCCCCATTCCAGGATGAACCACTGCACGTGAGACCTTGAACACTGGATGCAAAGCTCATCATTCTGTCATCACTTGTGCATGCAGCATTCTCTTACATGCTTACTAAAGAGCCTTGCTATGATGCTGAACCATTCCAGGACAAAGCACAGGTGTTCCATTTTCCAAATCCAGTGTAACATCACAGATGTAGAGAAACAAATTTGTGATTTAAGCTCATATTAACCTGTTTTGTCCAAATAAGGCAAAGCAAATGAGCAAGCTAAAGAACACATGGGGGTCATTTACACACCTGTCAAGAGCATCAATAGATCCACAGAATTAATAGGCAGCGAACAAACCAAACAAAATCATCCAGCAAACTGCTTAATACAGCAGCTTTCTGCTGATGTCCCATTTCATCTCCTCTGCCAGTTAAAGCAATTATGTTTCTTTAATCTTGAAACAGCTGCTATATATAAGGCAAACCTAGGGCTGGCTCTGCTTTTTAGATATTTTAAATCTAAAGCTTCTCATTTCCAAGAAACATCTAAAGAAAATTTATGGATTTATCAAGGGGTTATAATATCATGTTGTCCCTTTTTGGAAACCTTATCCAGCCACCACTCTATTTACTATGAAAAATACAAAGCATCTATCTTCTACCCAAGACATCAAACTTTTACATTCTGTGGAAGCAGCACCTATATAGGCATTTCTGGCCCCGCAGTGGCTGCTACCTGGGCCTCCATAGTTAAGGAGGGATTCAGGAGCACTCCCAAACTCCTAACCTCCGGCGCTGGCACCAGAGGCGCCCTGTCAAAGGCCGGGAGAGGGATCCCCATCCCCAGACCTCCCCAACCCAGGCACAGGACCTCCGTCTTCGCTGGGTTCAGTTTCAGCCGGCTCAGTCTAAGCCAACCAGCCACGGCGTGCAATGCCCGGGTCAGATCTTCTGGGCTGAAGTCCAACCGGCTGCCCAACATCAGATAGAGCTGGGTGTCATCTGCATACTGATGGCACCCTAGCCCATACCTCCGGGCAATCTGGGCAAGGGGGCACATATAGATGTTGAACAACATCGGGGAAAGCACCGCCCCCTGAGGCATGCCGCATTCAAGTTCCCCTAGTGCCACCCTTTATCCCCGACCCTGAAGAAAGGAGACGAGCCATTGTAAGGCAAGCCCCTGTATCCCCACGTCAGTGAGGCGGTGGGTCAGCAACTGGTGGTCGACCGTGTGAAATGCAGCCGACAGGTCTAACAACACCAGTGCTGCCGAACCACCTCGATCCAGATGCCTCCATAGGTCGTCAGTAAGAGCGACCAGCGCTGTCTCCGTCCCATGACCCAGGCGAAAACCGGACTGGAAGGTATCTAGGGTGGAAGCATCATCCAGGAAGCCCTGTAACTGTATCGCCACTGCCCTCTTAATTAATTTTCCCAAATAGGGCAAATTGGAAACGGGTCAATAGTTGGCCAATTTGGCAGAATCTAATGTTGTTTTTTTCAGGAGAGGGCGGACCATCGTTTCCTTGAGTGTCCCCGGGAACTGCCCCTCAGGGAGGAACTTGTTGACAATCTCCCTTAGGGCACCTCGAAACCCCTCGTGGCCTCCTTTGACAACCCAGGAAGGGCACGAGTCAAGACTGCATGTGGTTGGGTGCACAGACACAAGCAATCTGTCAGCTTCCTCCAGGCTGAGCGGGCTAAAACAATCCAAACCCAGAGTCGGAGACGTGCAAGGGGCCTCGAGTTCACATACAGTTTCAACTGTGGCAGGGAGATTGCAGCAGAGCGCCAAGACTTTATCCGCAAAATAGCTTGCAAATGCCTCACAGCCAATGTCCAATTCCCTAGCATTTTGCCTGCCCTCTGGCAGAGCTGTTAAAGATCGAATCGTTCTAAACACTTGGGCTGGGCGTGAGCTCACGGATGCAATCATGGCAGCATAGAATTCCCTCTTAGCAGCCTTAGCTGCCCATAGGATCTCATAAACGTCTTATAAGATGGTCTTGTTACCTCATCACGGGCACGACACCACTATCTCTCTAGCCGTCTCAGCTCTCGTTTCATAAGTTGCAACTCCTGGGTATACCAAGGAGCCAGCCTAGAACGAGCATGCAGAGGGCGCCGGGGAGTGATCTCGTCAATGGCAGTAGAGAGTCGGCTATGCCAATCCTCCACAAGCTCATCCAACGAGCCGCCAGGGGGCCTCGGATCCCACAGAGCCATCTGGAGCCATACTGGGTTCATTTGGCTCCGCGGGTGAGCTAAAAACTGATCGCTGCCTAAACAGGTTTGGGGTGGAACATTCAGACGGGCCTTCAGGGTGTAGTGGTCCAACCATGGTACTACCAGTGCAGTAATCCGGTCCACTGTTATCCCAGCCGCGAGAATCAGATCGAGCATGTGTCCAGCCTGGTGAGTGGGGGTCGTTATAAATTGGGAGAGTCCCAGCGCCACCATGGACAACACTAGGTCTGCTGCCTGACTGGAGGCTGCATCATCAGCGTGGACGTTGAAATCACCCAAAACCAACAGTCTAGGGTGCTCCAGCGCCCAGCCTGATATGGCCTCCATCAGGGACGGCAAGCTACTGGCCGGTGCGTTAGGCAGTCGGTGCACCAGCCAGATTGCTAAACTCTCCTCGGCTTCCAGCACCAGGCCGACACATTCAATGCCCGTGATCTCCAGCGGTGGGAGTGCCCTGAAGGAGTAAGCCTCCTGAATGAAAATAGCCACTCCCCCCCCGCCCCCTAGTCCATTATTGGTGTAGGACTGAGAACCCAGGTGGGGCAAGTTGGGAGAGAGTTACAGTCTCCCCATCCCGCACCCAGGTCTCGGTCACGCACGCCAGGTCTGCCCTCTGCTCCAGAAGGAAGTTCCGGAGGACTATGATCTTATTATTTATAGAACTGGCATTGCACAGCACCAATGTCGGTTTTATCAATCCTAGCCCCACTGCCAGCAACCTTCGGGATGGGTTGCAGGTTGGAAGGGCGCCAAGCCATTCCATTTCTCAGCGTCCTTCCCTTAACTCTTTGCCTGGACCCACCACTGTACTTTCCCCTCCCCAGGAGCACCGGAATCTGTTGCCTAAATACAAATCCCTACTCTGATGAATTCCTACTTGGATGAATTCCATAGTTGAAATGAAATAATAGAAACCTAGTAACAGCATCAGTAGATAGACAACATTTTTTAAAAGAGCTTTGACACCAGTCTTACATTTGATCTGCAACCCAGGGACATTATTCTTGATACCAGTGCTTCAAGTTTTAGAGATGATACTTGTCTGAATGTGAGAAAACTGGCTTTTTACCAGTTCTTGATAGTAATACTATGCTATAAATATATTTTAAATACCATAAAACAACTATAGATCATTCCTGTGCTCAATATTGGAGGCCTGTTTCTTGTTCTCTAGAGGCCAGTTCAGGCATAAAAAAAAATCCATACAATGCACCTCAACAGTCTCCAGGGATATTTGTCCCATTAAGCACCACAATGCATGGTATAGAATATCCACAATTACAGCTACAGAGTGTTTCCATGGATTGTAGCAGCAGAAAAACTTGCTGTGAGAATTATGAAAACATGGGTGAGAATTTGTTGTTGAATTCACAGAATCACCAGATCTCTATGCAAACAAACCTCAACATATCATGGAGAATTGTGTACACAGACTCCCGAAATTTTTGCTAAATATTTCCTGCTGCTCCACAACAGCAATTGTAATTACAGAACCAGGGACAAGTGGCTATTACAGATAATCCAGAAAAGGGGCTGGATCCCATGACTCCACTGTGCCAAGCATCTTTCTGCAGAGGAAGCCGTAGCAGAAGAGAATCACAGGATCTAACCCCATATAATTCTGTGCTTAATTTCTATGGGCAGTAGTGCCAGGACAAAACTGCACTGGAAGTCATAGCTTGTATCTTCATTCTTAATCGTGAACAATGTCTGCAAAGAGCAAACATTTACAAGCACAAGAAACAATGAAGAAGAAGAGTTGTTTTTATTCCCCGCTTTTCTCTAACCCAAGGAGTCTCAAAGCAGCTTAAATTTCCTTCCCTTCCTCTCCCCACAACAAGCACCTTGTGAGGTAGGTGGGCCTGAGAAAGTTCTGAGAGAACTGTGAATAGCCCAAGGTCACCCACCAGATTTCAACTGGAAGAGTGGGGAATCAAAGCTGCTTCTCCACTACACTCTTAACCACCACACCACACTGGCTCTCATGTCACAAGCCCATTGGAATACACCTATTAACTGTTCTTTAAAGAAAAAAGAAACAGACAAAGGAACAGAATGGTGCTTATTTGATCAGGCTCTGTATTCGTTGACTACATCTAACAATCTGATCTCACAATGAGCAATGCCAGCCATCAGCACTGAGAATGGATGTATCCATTTTGATGTGATATACTGTTGCAGCAGAC